ACTATTTTAACCCAACTGATAAGCTGAAGAATGAAAAAAGGATCCAAACAATATACTTGCTGATTACAAATGCAACACGGCAATCTTGCATGTCCGCATGACAAAGTGAATTCTGAGGCAGGACATGAACCTGTTTAACCAAGATGGTATTACCAACAAATATAAATATCAAGAACAAGCTCAGAGCTCAGCTTATAAACGCATAAGAAGTTGTTCACTCTAAAGCAGCTGTCAAACAATTTACTTACACAACAGAAATGAAAACTTCTGGTAATGTTTGGCAACTTTCTGCTGATTAATTCCTAATGACTTTCACACATTCAAAATGTTTCTCACTGGAATACCTATTTCAGAATCTTCACCTTCTAGAATGATAGCATAACATCAATTAATAGAGGATTTAACAAGGTTGCTGACAAGTCAATAGTCCAAGTGCTGCTTTTGAGCCATGGGCTTTTTAATGATTATGAAAACAGTAGTTAACACTCAGAGAATGTGTTTTCTGAATGGCAAAGCTGGAACTCTGGTAATGTGAAAGGACTATCATCACATTTTGATTTTGTCAGTGTGGGAACTCCCTCTACCAAGAAACCAGAAACATGTCTCTTAAGTTTTACGAAAATGTCTTGTGATTCAGAAAATTAAGAGGTTCTGCCATGGTAGAGCTCAAAGTGCTGCCTTGGATGCTGAATAAGCCAGACAAGTAATAAATGTTGAGTTGAAATGAAAATCAATGTGGAGAAACTGAAGCCTATTTAGAGAAAATACGCTAGCCTATGAAATTGTACCAATAGGGTTTAAAATGGAGGGTTTGGAAGACCTAGGTTCAAATTCTAACTGGTTAAAATGACCTTGAGATCAAGGGCAAGCCAAGTAACCTCTCTGAGTGAGAGTGAAACAGTTTGTTCACTATGGTTCACTGCTTGTGAACTTACTGTTACTGAGGTCAAGGAAAAAAAAAAAGACAAGCACTGATAATAATTAAAAGACTCTTCAGCACTAATACTTTTACACAATTATTGTTGTTATTATTTTGGAAGGGGAGATCCCAGTTTTCATTTTGCAAGGAACTCTCAGTGTGGAAACTCCCTCCATCCAAGCAGATGGTAGACCTCTATGTCATTTATTGTGTTGGAGAACTGCCTGGAACATCAAGAGATTAAGCGACTTGTCCATAGTCATAGAGCTAGTTTGTGTGTGTCAAACATAGGAATTGAATCTAGATTTTTCCATAAGTCAAGGCAAACCCTCTACTAATGCTTACTTTACTCAATTACACAAAAGGGATATTACCTAAATTCCTACAGGTATTCCTTAGAAAAAGCAATATTTATGTGTAAGAGAATAGGTATAAAAATAATCATGCTGGAAAAGGACATTTTAATCCCATGGTTTCTAAGATTTCTCTCACGTAATCTAACATTTGTATCTTAACTCACTTTAAAATCATCTCCATCCTATAAAATGTAAAGCCAAGGATGACGTGAACTAGGCAAATGGTTCCCTTTCAAACTGATGAAGCATGTGTATGTGTGTGTGTGTGTGTGTGGGGGAGGATATTTTCCAGTAGCCAAACAAGAATGAGATCCCTTCCCAAAATAAAAAGCATACTCTTGTCATGCCACAGGATACCCAAGTTCTCTTGGTTAAGGTTTTTTTGCCACCTAGATTCATTTTACCACTGCTGTTTTGAAAAGAGTATATACTACACTGGCTAAAAGTAAGTCATGAGTGACACAACACTTTAAGATAAGGCTCCTACTTCCATGGAGCTTACATTTTAAGAAATTTTATATATATATTTGGAGTAGGGAATTGTATTCTCAGCACAAAAGCTGTTGCTATAAATTGCTGTGCCCAAAAAAAAAGTCCATATCCTCAGGACCTCATTTTAAAAATTATATCCCTTGTATAGTACAGTTTTCCATCTAGAAATGTAATCAGGGATGGAAAGACTTTGTGCTGATACAAGTACCTTCTGTATTTTATAGCTTTTAAACAGAGTTTGTCAGAGCTGAAATGCTGGCAACAACTGGCACCCCCCATTCAAAAGGCTGAAGGTCTCTGGACAGCAGTAGCTCACACAAGGAGCAGACAGACCTCTTAATGGGTTTTAATCATTTTGCCTGCTTCTTCAAACACTCTTGTTTTCTCTGTCCTAGATCTGGTTTACTTTATCAACAGTAGCTCCAGGTAGACAATGCTGTTATAATAATGTGCCTGATGACCATGAAGGCCTGCCATTAATCGGTGTCAGGCACTCACCATGTAATTGGGACTCTGTTGTTTGCTTTAAAGCAATAAAAGCAGTGTCAACACTTCAGAGAAAAGGAGGGGGGAACAATAATTAGAGCAAAAGAATATTCTTTTCAAACTGTAAATACATGAAATATGAAAACATTTAAGCCTAAGAAGAATCAACAGCATTAAAGTAATTGAAATATAAAAAGGAGCACCTTTTACAAATCACTCTTCCTCTCCCTTGAGTCGCCTCTCTCTCCCAGAGCATGGCTTTCTATGGCATATTTTTGAATATTTTCCATTTGTTCCTATACCACTCTTTATCTACTTTTTTAGAGCTGGCAGGGAAAACTTACAGGTCATCTAGTCCTATAGATAGAGAAACTAAGACCTAGGGTAGTTATATAACTTGTCCATGGTCATACAAGAAGATAGTGCCAATAATAAGATAGTGCCAATAATGGAATCTGAATCCACCATGTTTTACTCCACAGAGGTACTGAGGAAAAAACTGAAAACCAGATTTGATTCCAAAAAATAAAGTTCAAGTCTCATTATAAGTTGAGTGTTTTCCAATGTCTCTGTCTACCCTGAATTATCAGAACTCTAAATTAATAACATGGAAAAAACATACTTAAGCCACACTAACTACTGTTATATAATTTTTAAACAATTTAAAATATGTATTCATATTAGAATTTATGCACATGAAGGCTAAAAATTTCCCATATGTAGACCAAAATTTTCCATCACACTGCAGAAATCCAATAAAATTCTAAAACCAACAAATTTTTGCCCAGCAACTTTCACATATTTACCTATGATTTTCTCTGTTGTGGTAGCACAAAAAAGCTGCAGCTGTTTTAAAAGCTCAATGTTAAGTATGTCGTCTCTGGGAGATGGGAAAAGGTTATGGGATTTCCTGAATGACATGGCAAAGTCAGAAATGGAACACCAGAGTATTTCTTTCCAAGTCTGATTCTATAACAAGGGTCCATATTTATAAAACTGATGGATTTGCACTCGGCATAATAAACAATTTCACAGCTGTGAAATTTTACCTCTGCCTTTATCATTAAAAATCCATTACTTTCCTAGGGTGTTGTTGGATTTTTTGTGGCATATGGGAAGTATGTTACTAGATTTATACTGAAAAAATAAGTCTCATGGGGGTTGGGAGGTAGAGGCAGAATCTGCTAAAAATAGGAAAAACTGGAAGGTGAAACTGTTCCATAACAATTGGTCAGGCAGTGCACTCTCATTTGCGTTCTCCCTCTGTGTGTGTGTGTGTCTCTCTCACTCACTCACCCCCCCCATAACCTTTATTATAAGACTCAGATAAATGAATCATTAATGCCTGAGGGGCTGAGCAAGAGTGAAAAGGGTCCACCCTTCAGAATCTGGGGCAAAAGCAGAAAAGATTATTCTCCAAAGTTGGAGCTAACAACAGTCAACATAAAAGAAATGATATAACCTGGACTTAGAAATGAGCCATTCTAAGAGATACTAGGTAAAGGAGAGACAAGGATATTGCCCACAGCTTATCAAGTAGCATTGGGTACCTCCCTGAAACTTTAGAAACACACTAACCCAGAATGAAATTACTATAAAATATCCAGCAGTTTAATTTACTGTGATATAATTCTCATGAACTGGTGAAAGATATTTGAAAAAGGAGATATAGGTAGCAAATTACTTGTTAGAATATCTCTAACATTATCCTGGGCAAAAGATGTTCTGATTCTGAGGAGTATTACTCATTTTTTTTAAGTTTAGTTTAGTTTTTTGGCTGGATCTGTGATTTTACTGGCATAGTAAACTCCTAATGAGAAAACTTCTTTTTTTTTTTTTTAAATTTATTTTTAGGCAATTAGGGTTAAGTGACTTGCCAGGGTCACACAGCTAGTAAGTGTTATGTGTCTGAGGCTGGATTTGAAATCAGGTCCTCCTGACCTCAGGGTCAATGCGCTATCCACTGTACCACCCAGCTGCCCCCTGGGGAAAACTTCTTCATGCAATACAGACTGGTATCTGCTCTGTGATTTCTAGTCTTAGTGTTACCTAGGGCACTGAAAGAATTTAAGTGATTTGCCCAGCTTATTTGTGTTAGGGGAGGAATTTGAACCCAGGTCTTCCTGACCTTGAGGTCAGCTTTCTAATTCTCTGAACACCAAACAGACTTGTTATCTGGTTTCCTGAATTAACTTACCTACCTACCTGGTGGGAATGACTGATACCAGCCTTCTTGCCGGGCAGGTATGCTGGCATAGTAAATTATTACCTGTATGTTTTGTTTCTAAAGCAGTCTCTCTCATGAGTTTTGTTGGTGAGGCTTATCCTCTTAGGGTGGGATTACCCTTGGGTAAATAAGGTTTTTAATCAGACTCCAGACAGGGGCAAAATTGCTATAAGAAACAGCCTCCAACAGGATTCTAGTCTCTAACAATTTTAACTACAACATAAGGCAGAATGCTGAACTTCTTTTCAAGCAGATCAATTCATGTGGAATTAATTGTATCTGCCCTTGCAGCTTTGACAAGGAAGGACTGTGATAATGGAGAGCTTGTGCTTCATGTCAAAAGCAACGCCTACAGGACCAGAACCTCTGCACGCACCAGCCCTGCAGCTCCTGACAAAGCTGGAACGTTAATGGGATCCATTCTCAAGTCTTTAGCCCTGATTCCATGTTCACCCAACAGCTGTACTGGCTAGTGAGTTAAATACACAGCTATTTATTGGAAGAGGGACATCTGTGTTACCTGGACAGTTTGGTAATCAGAAGCATCAATTCCTTTCACAGTCACCTCTCGGAAAACTCTGGGCTCTAACTCCTCTCTGGTAAGATCACAGTGATAAATAATACCTGAAACAGAGTTTAAGTCACAGATGAGTAAAAGGAACTCATTAAAGGAATATACTGGGATGAGAAAGGAAAGAGTAAGGCACTGAACACATTCTCACTTGGAGATAACAATGTACACATTTTATTTCATTTACATTTAATTCCTATTGCTTAATATTTCTCAACCTGACCACAGAAAAAGTCAGATAAAAAAACAGAAAAATTAAAATGCAGTTTAAAATGTCTAAATATAACTAGGAAGATAAAAACAGAATTAGAAATATATATATGTACATATCTATATCCACATATCTACTTTATATATGCTGTATATATATATATATATATACACACACACACGCATGCAATACATATGTGCATATACATACACGAACATATATGTGGGCACATGTGTATATCCAAAGCCAGAAATATTGGGTTCTGGTTCTAGTCCCTGCTCAGCCATTTTGCTGGCTATGTGATCTTGGGCAAGGCTCAAACTTTCTAAACCTGTTTTCCCATTTATCAAATGAGAAATCATAATAACTAGGCCTTGACTACTTCAAAGGAATATTTATAAAGCATTTTGTACAAGAGAAAGTGCTATACATATATGTTATTATTTATTTATTAAGTATAACAGTGCTTTTCATCAATAAATACCTTTTTACTTAGGCAAGTACCCTGCCATATCCCTTATTTCATCTTATTATAGAGCAAATGAAAAAAAACAAAAAACAAAAAACAACCTATTATTCACAGATGTGGAAGGTCACTTAATTCAATGGCAACCAAAATCTAGAGAGGCTAAGGGGCTTGCCCAGGATTACATGTGTAGTAAGTAGCAGAGTCAGGATTTGAACCTAGGTCCACTGACTCCAACTCCAGCATTCTTTTTATTATGCTACAAGGTCTGCTGGCTTCAAATCAACCCTTTGGTAGAAGAGAGATTATCACAATTTTATAGTTGGGAAAAATCAAGAAACAGAAAAGATGTACCTTACACAGTCACCTATACAGTCACTGGTTTCCTTCAAGCTAGATACCCACACACATAAATACACATACATTCATTCACACACTAGAATTATTAAATCATTCAATAAGCATTTATTAGCACATACTATGTACCAATCACTGTGCCAAGTGGGTAGGAATACAAAGACAAAAGCCCGAAAACAGTCTGAGTCCTTAAGCTAACATTCTAATAGGCAAAGTCTCATAGGAACTTAGGAGAGAGCAAGTAACTCTTCTAGAAACATCTTTCTATTTTTGTTTTCCTGGTAAATGTGCAATACACAATATTCTATACTACTGACTTGCTTAAATAATATTAATAATTAAAATTCCATCCCCCGAATCTAATGCAGCTGTAGTTTACTATCCAAAAAGTAAAAATGAACTAAATAAGAATCAACAATAAGTAAGATTAGGTCTTTAATGTTTGAAAACAATTACACTGCTGTGGTTTATGAAACAAGACTTAGTAATCCACAGGGTGGCTGGCACAGAAACAGCATCTCCCCACATAATACTTTTTTAACATATGCTGTCAAGCACATTAAAATCAATTTAGCATTCCCAGTACAAGTTGGAAAGCCAGACATGAACAATTACGCCCATGGGGCACATTTAGATGGCCTCATTAAGTATTAAAACACGAGTTCTTCCTTCTCTATTCATATATGTGCAGATATATGTATGACTACACCTATACACAAACACATACATGTCTTATGTTAAATAACAGGTTAAAAAACCCCCAGCCCCTTGTCTGGCACGTGGGGATGACTGAAAAAAACACACACACAAATAGGTTTAAACAATTCATCTGCAATCTTTAAAATAAAAACAAACAAAAATTAGTAAAAAGGTAAGTTATTAAATGAAAATGTACCTTTCAGGATATAATCTGAAAGCATAAAACAGATATATAGATTTCTCTATTCATTTTATGTCAATTTTCACTCTTACCATCATTACATTAGAATAGCTGGCCAACTACTGAGATGCTGAATTTATACTTAATAAATTATATTAAATTGTTCTTAGATTACTAGTTTGAATACACATTTGCATAAATCTCTCAAAAAATTTTAAAGCTTTCCTTTAAAATTTTTAAAGTTCTCTTTAAAAGTCTCCTCAAAAAGACTAGAATTCAAGTATCCTGACTCCCAGGCTATGTTTTTCCCTATGACTTTCCAGAATGGGTATCCTTCCTCTTTCTTTCCTCCACTGCCCCCCTCTATCCTCAGGCCATCCAAAATCCATGGGGCTGCTGATGGAGAAGACCTGCCAATGGGGGAACTCTTCTCCTACTCCCTTAACTGATAGGTAAGAACAGCAACATTGGTTGCCCATATGACTTGGATGAGCTGAGAATCACCAACTAGCACCCTTGAAGATAGAAGACAATCAGGCCTAACAATATGCTCTTCTACATTTACTACATCCTAGGTCATTTGGGTTATACCATCATACCCACCATTACACCTTCCAGATCTCTTGCTGACATATCCTAAATATCCCTGGGTTCTGTCATCTTACCCAGTGAAGCCCCTTAAGGACTTTCCCACAGCTAAAGTCTCTTATATGTGTTGCTTCTCCCAATTACATGAACTCTTTCAGGGAAAGAGTTGGCCAGCCTTTTTTGAATACATCCCCAGCATGTAATAGACTTCCTGGCACATACACTTAATAAACGCTTACTTCTTTCATGCATTCATTCTATATCTAGCTGCCTACACTGTTTTCATTTCTGCATATTTTCCTACCAAAAGACAACAAACGAAATATAAAGGAAATTCTGCCTTTTAGGCAGAATGTTGGAAAATAGAGCCCCCTCCCCCAATTAACTGAATATTTTCATTAACAGGATATTTAGCACACACCATATATTAGCCTCTTTTAAGAAATTTCTGATATCTGTTCTTTTGTAGAGTAGCTGGAGAACATAACTTTAAATAGGATAGGGAGAATATCCCTCAGACATTTTCTTCCAGGCATCTCATTAAGAGATTTAATTGTATTGACAAGTCTCTTTTAAAATAGAAATAACCCCTGAAAGGGTTAAGCCTATCAGTCATAGGCATTTAGTTACTGATTTATTATTCAGTTGTTTTCAGTCATGTCTGACTCTTCATGACCCCATTTGTGGTTTTCTTGGAAAAGATAATGGAGTGATTTGCCTTCTTCAGTTGATTTGAGGAAATTTGAGGAAATTGAGGCAAATAAGGTTAAGTGACTTGCCCAGGGTCACCCAGATAGTAAGTGTCTGAGGCCAAATTTGAACTCATGAAGAAGAGTCTTTCTGACTCTAAGCCCAGCACCTATCCACTGTGTCAGCTAGCCACCCTAAATTGATAAGAGCCCGATAAGAAAGGATAGGACAGATAAAGAGAAAAGTATTTTCACAAGGTACATTTAGGTCACTTGAGAAGGCAAAGTGGGGAAGTCTGTGTAAGCATAAGATAAAAAAGGTTCAACATACCCTGGGTGGACGAGTGCCACCAGGTGATTTGGTCCTCCACTATCAACATTTTAAAAGGAATCTAGCATAATTTCCTTTTCAATCTGCAATTAGAATCTTCTTTCCTTAAGATACACACAGAAATACCAAGCTGAGAAGTGCTACTAATTTATCTAAAAAATGTTTCTGCACATGGACAGCTACTATGCCTTGGTCAAATTGTGGTATTCTATCTATCCTTCCTGGAACATCCCTCATCCTTCAGTCCCTGGAGCCCCTTTCTCCCACTGGTGAGGTTCTTCCCAGAACCTCTATTTTGAATAAGGGCCCCAGGCCAGTTATCCTTCATTTTTCTTTCTGCTCTGCCTCTGACTCTCTGGACTTCCTTCACCATTCCCCAGCAGGAGTAATTTCATCCCCACTCTTTTACTTTTCAGCTTTTTAAGTTGTCTTCTCCCGTTAAAATGTAAGCTCCTTGGCATCAAAGATTGCCTTTTTTTTTTAAACACAGCACCTGGCCCATAGTAAGCCTTAATAATTGTTTAATGCCTTGACAAATGTATACTGAGTTGAAAGCCAATGTTCTACAGATGCTAAAGATGCAAAGATAACGGAAGTAGGAGTAAGAATGTCTTAGAGTTTGTTCTGTCTCTACCACTAACTTGCTATGTGATCGTGGGCCACGTTTCTGTTTTTTGGTGCATATTACTCTGATAAAATGAGACGAGTTACACATGTACTGTAAGAATCTCCTTAATGTTCCTTATTCCTCTCCAGTCTATAGTAGGGACTTCCTTTATCATGTCCCAGAGGCTTCATCATACTGAAGATGACTCTAACCCTGAAATTCACATATTGGAAATATGCTTTGGTCCTGTAGTCTCTCTCTGGTTCTTCCCAGAACCTTTATGTAAGGAAAGTGCCCAGGTCAGTCACATTTCATTCCTCTCAAGAATACACTCTGGACTTTTGACTTTTTCTACCATGACCTGGTCAGGTATCTTCATCCCACTCTTCCTCCTCCACCTAGGAGTCAGGAAGACTCATCTTCGTGAGTTCAAATCCAGCTTCAGATACTTACGAGTTGTGTGACCCAGGGCAAGTCACTTTAACCTGTTTGCTTTGGTTTCCTCATCTGTTAAATGAGCTGAAGATGGAAATGGCAAACCATTCCAGTAACTTTGCCAAGAAATTCCCAAATGGGGTCATGAAGAGTCGGATACAACTCAAATGACTGAATAACAACATATATAAAAATCTACGCATATGTGTGTGTATGTGCATGTGTGAGTGACAGCAAGAGAGAGAAAGAGAGAAAAGGAAAGAAGGAAGGAGGGAGGGAGAACAAACTACTCAGGTAGAGGCATACAGGACAGAAGAGGTGAAGGACTGGAAATCTAGATATGACATAGTAAAAAACTGGACAATGGCAGTGGCAGTGAGAACGAACAGACAAATCTGAGACAAACAGCTAATAAGCCTTGGTGACAGGCTAGTATAGAAGAAGAAACCTCAAAGACAATATCTATTTGAATTCTGTTTTGATTACTGGTTGGGCAGAAGAATTTGCTCCACTGTTAGCAAAAAGATAAATGTCTTTTCAAAGACATCTGTGTTTAACATAAAGATTGTGGCAGCTTCTTTCATCACTGACCTGTGTTGCTAACATCAAAGCATCTGTGCCTGTTGGACTGAATTGTAAGACTGTGTTGGTTCTGCTACAGATAATCTTGAAAATTTCCTGTAACTTCCAACGAGCAAAAGTTGTGGCAGCTGAACTACTAAGTGGTTTGAGACACCGGGTATAAATATACCAGCACTCATCACTGCCCTCACGATTTATTTCCAGTGCACAATGAGGCAATCTGGTGTTAGTGCACTAGTTTGGAAACGTGGGTTTTAATATCAACTCTGCTGCTATTAGCTGTGTAACTTTGGGCCAGGCACCTTGCCTCCCTGGTCCTTAGTCTTCTCATCTGTAAAAGGAGAGAGGCTGGACTTCAAGGCCTTGGCAGTTCCAAAACACCAAGAGAATATAAGCTTCTTGAAGGCAGGGTAGTTTTGTTTGTGTCTATATCTCAAGGCATTTGGGCTAGGTTTTGAACAACAGCAATGCTTTCAGAAGTAATTTCAGCAGTAATTTCTTCAGAAATGCTTGTTTAATTGAATAGAGTTTCCCTAAGTAATGCCACAACAAATCAGGACTGAAACATCCTGCCAATAGCCCCCCAAATTTTTTAACAGGAAATGGAGACTGTGGAATGTTTTCTGTGGAAGGAAGGGCCTTCCTTACAATTCTGGGCCCCTGGGATGTAATCCTCCAGGGCCTTATACTAGAAAGCTTTCCAAATCAGAGTTTCATCAACATTTATAGAACCTGATAATTGTTACTTCTATTTGATGTATTTTAATTAAATGTTGTTATATTTGGATCCTGAGGTGAAACTTTGTAATTTAAAACCTTTTTTTTTTCTCCCTGGTTTGAGACATCAGATTGTGCTAGGTAGGAAAAAAGATGAGAAGGAAAGCAAGGTCAAGCAAAAGGAGAGATGCTCAGACTTCAGAAAGTGTTGTTATCATCAACTAACTTCCCACCTAGAGAAACTAGGAACTAGGCTCTTGTTTTCAATCTTTATAGCTAGAGTCATGAAAAATTCTTCACTGCCTGGCACCCCACCTTTCATTTTACATTAGGACAATGAGCCCTTTCTTCAAGAGGTAATGATGAGTGTACTCCTGAAATAACTGGTCACATGGTGTCATTTCATGGAGGCTTATAGACCTTTTGGGACTCCAACTTCTATCAAGAGCAGGTGAGTCATGCCCAGTCTATGCTTTGCATTGTCCTTTCCCCAACTTATCTGGTAAAGACAGGCAAGTGTTCAGGTACAGCTTTGCACTTCAAAAGCTAATAAAACAATTCCTTGTGCTAACAGCTTTTTATTTCAAGTGATGAAGTCTATGCTCTACTAGGTAGCTTCCCTCATTTAACAGCAGATAGGAGGCTCACAAATGAGCTTGCAGCTGTGGGTATATGTGCATGCATGCATGCACAGGGGTACAGGGGCATAGGGGTGTGTGTGTTTGTGTAAGGCTTGTAAATAGTGGTAAAGATAAAGAAAAAAGAAAAGTCTTGAGACTTTGCAAAAGAAAAATTTCCCTTTGGGGTTTAAGTTTGAGTAAACTTTTGCCACTACCAACTACCTATTGCAGGGGTCATGAAGTCGGAGAAAAAATAGTCTCACCTCTTCTAACTCACTATAATCTTTTCTATATAAACTATAACTTGAGGTAGCACTGGGGTTCTTTGACTCAGTGTACCCAGCAGCTTCAGGCCCTGATCTTTGCAGTTGCTCTGAAAAGATTCTAGAGAGGAAAATGCTCTGGACTTTTCTAGTGTACAATCAATTCCTCCAGATCATTCTTGCCATTTCAATAATTTCGGCCATTTTTTAAATTTCAAAAACCTCCCACAAGACTGACGATTCTAACTGGACTGCTTATTCAGTCACAGGTAGAAAGAAAACACAGTCACAGAAAACAGAGCAGCCTAGGCTTCAGTGATGTGATTAAATCTCATGTTGCACTGAACACTAGCTTTACACCTACTTACTTTTCCCACAAGATTTTACTTCATTTTCTAGAAACTAAAGTATTGCAGTAAAACTGATATGCTAGGAAGACCTGGTCTCCTTAGGATGTAATTCGATAACATCTGATAACCTCATGCTGCCCAGAACCAGGAGAGAGAGGTACTATTCCAAATTATGTAAAATTGTCAATCCTGAAGACTATATAAAATTTAATTTAATGGGAACAAAAGGACATAAAAAAATGGTTACATTCTTAAAATCTAGCCACTACTCGGATTCTTATAATCTAGCCAATAGCTCACTAATGTTCAGACTCCTTAAGAGTCTGCCCAATATGAGGGATGTTCTAATAAACCTTGTCTGTGGCTGAAAAAAAAAAGTCTAATGGGGGATAAACTCAAATACAAGTAACTCTAATATATATTGTATGAAAATTGCACCAGAGAGTTGAAAAGAACTATACAAGTGCTAAAATTGAGATTCAGAAAGGTTGCAGGGAAACTGTATGAAGACTTGTATGTACTGATACAGAATGAAGTGAGCAGAACCAAGAGAATAATTTATACAATAACAATTATCACAATAACATTATAAGAGGCGGAGCCAAGATGGCAGAGTAAAAGCAGTGACTTGCTTGAGCTCTCCTCCAAACCTCTCCAAAAAAAAAATTACATGTTTTTTCTTAGAAACATTAATCTCATTCCAAGTTGTGGTTTATTTTTTAAAAAATTAACCAACAGTGTTTTCCATCAGGTCTTGCAGTCAGGAAGACTTCAGTTCAATTCTGCCTGATACATACTAGTTATGTGACTGGGGGCCAACCTCTTAGCACCCCAGTCAAATCTCTTGAGACTATAAATTATAACAAGTTTGCAGAATGTTGGCATCATAGACCTAACAAATGAAGGGGCCTCAGAAGCCCCTCATTTTACATATGAGGAAGTGAGACCCAGGAAGGCAAGTGGCTTACTTGCCTAAGGCTGCAGAGCTATCAGCATCAGAAGTGGAATATGAACCCAAGTCTTCTGGACTCAACAGCCAGTTGTTTTTCTGATGTCCCAGGTGTGTCTGGTGGCTCTCTCAGGGAGGTCACTATACTTTCCTCACCTTCCTCCTTTCCCCCACACATATATCATTACATCACAAGCTAGTTTCTCCTTGCTCCCTTCTTCGGAAGGGTCTTGTCTATGTCAGTTTTATTGACGAATCTTTCAAAGATCTCCAAGGAAAAAATGTCTGACTGAATCAACTTGCTCCAGTTAAAACTGACTGATGTGCATCAATGAGGAAATTTCCAACTAGGAGTTACCAACTTCAATGAAATTCCAGACCTAGGCACACATACACACAGTATCATAAAATCACCATACAGAGATGGCAGAGACCAAGTAGCAGAATTAAAAATGTGAACTCAGGTCTTTTAAACTTCATACTGAATGCCCTTGTGTATACACACACACAGACACACACAGATACACACTTATTATTATCTCAAAGCATGCCTGTCCATTAAAATCTTGGTATGGGTCTAGGAAAGTTTTTCTCCCTCCAAAGAAATAGGAACTTAAAATGAAAGGCTCACAATGAAAATGAAAGCTCACTATCCTTTTATATTTTCCTTCATTCCCAGTTTCTAATTCTGTTATCATAATTTACTATTACCTAGAGCCCATCATTTTAAAAAATGCAAGAACACAACATGACTAATGTGAAAATATGTTTACTATGATCATACATGCACAGCCAATATCAGATTGCATGCCATCTTGTGGGGGGGAGGAAAGGAAGGGGGTAAAATTTAGAACTCAAAATCTTTTATGTTGAAAACCAAAAATAAATAAATAAATTTTTAAAAATGCAAGTATACATCATTGAATTCTAATTTCCTCTATTAAAACAGACCTAAACAGTGCCTCAGCAAATGTGAAGGGAAAAAGAAAAAGACAAATAATACTCACCTGGAGATAAGAAGGAAGTAAACTGATAGAAGATTTCAGTGTCTTTCTTTTGGCCACTATATCCCACGATGCTGCCAACCTCTAGTGGAAATGTTTTGAGGAGTGAACCGGTGGCAAGATCATGTAGCTGTAGGATGTTTTTTACATCATGGAGGTAGGACAACACCAAAAAGTTGGACCTGACACAAGCTACCCATTCTGAAAAGATGAAAAGGAGAAAGAAATTCCAATAAAATTAGAAAAGACTGAAAACAATAAGCCATCATTACTTAGTATGTAATTTTATTCTTTTTCACTAGTTAAAAAATACCAACCCAAACACTCATGCATAAAATAGGCAGCATGGCTCAGTGGATAGTAAGCCGAGAGTCAAAAAGACCTGGTCTCTGATAGAGATAGATAGAGACTGTTGTCCCTGGCTAAGTCACTTAACCTCTCAATGCCCCAGCCAACTCTCTAAGGCAGTAAGTTAGAGAGCAGGTACAGATTTACATTCATAGAGGGATTTTTTCTCATCTGGAATTAATTCCCTATACTAATGAAACAACAGATTCACCCCACCCCTGAAAAGAAAAGAAAAGAAAAGAAAAGAAAAAAGAATGACATACCCTATATTGGACACTAGGAATTCAAAACCAAATTTTAATAAGCTTAATTTGGCAGACATGCCTGATGGGGGGTGGGGGTGGGAAAGTGGGAATGGGGAGATGGGTAGGGAAGAGACTGTTAGCAAAAAGGCAGCTGTTAGAGTCATTCAGATCCTAAGGAACAAGTGAGCTAGTCCAGGGTGGAAGGAACAAAGAAGGGAGGAAAGATATAAGAAATAATATTTTAAGTCAGAAAACTCACAGTATTTGGTAGCAAGAGTGGATCTAAAGGGTAAAATGAGTCCAAGATGAGACCAAAATCTCTAATCTAGCTAATGATGGTGCTGCTGACCAAGCCAGGGAAGTTGAAAAGCTAGTTTTGGGGTAGGGGAAATGATAAAGAATTCAACTTTGGACATTACACATTAAAAGTAGGAATCCATCTGAAGACATCTAGGAGGAAGACAGAAGTAAGATAATATCATCACATACAGAAAAACAAAAGACTTAACCAGATTTGATGGGATAAATTGCACAATACTTCTGAAGTGGGAATAAAGTCATGTCTTTTTTTTTTTAAAAAAGCACATTTATGTTAGCAAAAATATCATCTCATCATAATTTACATGAATATCAGACCAGCATGGGGACTACTTGGAAAACCTTTTGATGATCACGATGTATCCAAAAATTAACCTCTTTTGAGTTATTTATAGTCTACTTTTACCAGGTATGAACTTGGAGGATTTTTTATACTCCAACTCTCAGCTGGGCAATCTGTTCTCATTATCTAGACATGTATAAAACTTGAATCTCATCCAAAGACACTTTTTCAACTGCTTCAATTTAAAAAAATTTTTTTTTCAAAGAAGTGAAAGCCAAGTAAACTTTGGTAAAAGTTGTATTAAGTAGTTCTTTCCTCAAGATTACTTCAATTTTGGTCTCTGAATGTCACAGTAGAAATAAGAGAAATTTTTATAATATGCAATGAATATGGATATTTCTTCAGATAAAATATTTCTGTCAAAGAATCATTATCAGTGCTATTTCATCAGGACTCAAAAGATCATAAAAGCTGGATGAAATCAAAGGCAGGTAGTAAGAATATGGTACAAGCCATAAAGATAAGAAAACAAGCTACTTTGGACATTATCATTAATAAAAAATTCTTTTTATATCTGTCCTTTGTGGTTTCCTTTCAATTTTTAAAGAAAAATTTAAAATCTATTTTGCAGCTAATGACATATAATGAAGTCAACAGTACTTGTGTTTAAATTCATGAGTACTTCAAGTCTCATCCTTTAAAAACTAGGACAGGACAGTATAATGAAAGAACATCTGCTCTCTAGTCAAAGGACATAGGTTCAAATCCTCACTCTGGCACTTACTACTTAAGTGACCTTGGGCAAGTCACCCTTAATGGATTTGAGTTTTCCCAATCTATAAAATGAGGGGGTTGGAGTAGATGGTCTATGAGGTTGCTACCAGCTCTATGATACTATGATTTGTTTTCATGAAACGGGTTCACAAGAAAGTCACCATTTCTGCAAAAGTTCATTATTACCTAAATAGGCTAGGGAAGGTTCAACTGACTGTTCTACGCATGCCTCCTACTCCTATAGGGATACATTCCCTTTTCTAAAACAATCTATGCCTGGAAACTACCATGCAAGAAACTTGCATAATCCCACATAACTTCCAAAATCAGCATCTCTCTATCTGTGAAATCAGAGAGAAGGAAATCAATCAAGATTCATATGGTAAAAACATTAATTCATATGGTAAAAACATTAATCCTCCCCATAAATCCCTAGTTTTTCAGATGTTTTGTGGCTATTCCAGAGGCTGCCATAGACTACACCAGTACATAGGGTGGTCATAGCATTGGGGATTGGTTTGTGGCTCTGATAGAGCAGCTCAGTGTTAGCTCTTAGCCCCAGTGAAAACTGAGGAACAGCCTCTCCACAAAATCATCATAAAATCCCACTTCCTTATCCTGCTGTAACCTGAAGACCACTCTGGCTGCATCCTTGGCTTCTCTGTGCTTCGGTCCCTAGGTGTCTTCTTAAGCCTCAAGTCCTCTCTTGCACGAGGTAAAAGCAACAGGCCCGTAAAACTGACCATCACTGGCTCAGCTGACTTGTGAATATCTCCAAATCATCAAAACAGACTGGGATATTTTTTAGCCGCATTTCATTGATGGTTCCACATTGATGTATCACTTAACTAACAAAGCACTTTACAAAGATTATCTCAAATGATCCTAATTATCAGTGGAATAATAGTTATCTCCATTTTACAAATGAGGAAGATATAAAGTCAGAAAAATTAAGTGACTTGCTCCTTTTCCACAACTACAATTGGATAATGCCCCTTTAGTATACAGAAGTCAATGACATTCCTGGATGCTTGAGGAAATCTACAGCATCCCTTATTTTTAACATCTCCAGATATCATGACTTTTTCATGTTTAAGAATTGATGTTCTATAGAAACATGACTAAAAAGAAAGTAAAAACCTTCAAACATTCAATATGAAAGCCTATATAATTAAAAACTCATTTAACTTTACCAGAAGCATATAAAAAAAGATTCAGTATACTGTTTAAAACATGATCTCTAAGCTAAAATTCAGACCTGAATTATTATTCATATTTACAGCAAGGAGATATGGAATAAATAGAGCTTAATTACAGAAATGACTATGAATGCTATAATGGTTTCATTAATCACTGACAATCAGATTTTATTTTCTTTACCTCTTAGGACACCATTTTTTTCTTTTTCTTTTTTTGGCAATTGGGGTTAAGTGACTTGCCCAGGGTCACACAGCCAGTAAGTGTCAAGTGTTTGGTCTGAGGCCGCATTTGAACTCAGGTTCTCCTGACTTCAGGGCCAGTGCTCTATCCACTGCACCACCTAGCTGCTCCTTAGGACACCATTTTAGATTAATATTCATAATTTTTAACTTTGTGACATCCTTGTCCCTAAGTCAACTCACATAAAATATTTTTTCAACTTAATCTATGACAAGTCAATCACACAATGACTCAACAGCTTGCCCCAAAAGCAGGCTAAAAAATTGAGCTGAATCTAATAAGACTGAATTGAACAGGGATAAAGTTAAAGTCTCAAATTTGCATTCAAGAAATCTACAAGCAAAAGTTAGGGCAAGCATGGTTAGCAGCAATTAGTCTGAAAAAGCCCAGGGGACTTAACTGGACACCAAGTTCAATATGAGTCAACTATTAGGTATGGCAGCCAAAAATTCTATCAAACTCTTGAGATATATTAAAGGGAGGCATGGATTCCCAGAATAAGGTGATATCCTTCCATACTCAGCTCTGGTCAAACCACAAATGGGCTGAGTCCAATTCTGGGTACCAAAGTTTAAGATGGACATTAATATATAGAATCCAAAGGGAGGGCACCTAGGACAGTATCATGCCATATGGGAATCAACTGTAAGAGTCTGGAGGAAAAAAATGTTTACAGGGGGATGTAATAGTTGTCTTCAAGTATTCGAGAGGCCATGATGTGGAAGAAAGATTTAACTTGTTCTAGATGGCCCTACAGAACAGAACAAATTTAAGCTTGCTGCAAGGGAAAAAAAAACCTTTCTTTTCTCTCTCTCTTTTTTTTTGGGGTGAGGCAGTTGGAGTTAAGTGACTTGCCCAGGGTCACACAGCTAGGAAGTGTCAAGTGTTTGAGGTCGCATTTGAACTCAGGTCCTCCTGACTCCAGGGCCAGTCCTTTATAAACCTAGCCGCCCCTTTTTTCTTTTCTTTTCTTTTCTTTCTTTTTTATTTTATTTTATTTATTTATTTAAAAAGCTCTCTTCCTCTGAAATTTTGTGATTCTGTGAGTGATCAGGTCATAAAAGAGACTCTAGGGAAGTAGGCAGATACAATTCCCTTCTAAAATGCAATTCTACATTTCTCCAAAAGATGGCAATCAATACTGAGATCACATAGCTGCTAGCAAGAAGAGGTTCAGAACTTAAATCTGGTTAAGAAGGAAAGGTTGCTTCACTGATGGGTAGGTACCAGGAAATAGCACTGGATTTGAAGTCAGGGAACTTAGTTTCAAATCCTGCTTCTCTTAACATTGTGACCTTGGGTAAAGTCACTCAACCTCCTGGCCTCAGTTTCTTCATTTATAAGATAAAGACCTATAATTTTATGAAAGATAAAAAACCCCTTAAGTATCTAGGAAACAAATTCTGGGCAAACAAAACATAACAGGTCAGAAGGAAACAGATCTGGATGAGGAGACTACAGAGAACCCTAAGTAAAGTGTGAAGAAAATGACTGCAATCAGTTGAGGGAGGAATATCTGGAGTAAAATAAGGAAGAAGTTTCTTCATTCACAGATATGACTCTGGGAGAGCTACAGAGGAAATTCTCTGGGATCCATACTTAGAGATAGAGTAAAGGAACAAGTTATAGTAGGGGCTGACAATCTCATCTGTGATAACTGTTATTTACTTTGGGCCAAATGTTTGAATAGTATCTGTTTAATATCTATTCCTCAGAATTCAAAGTAGAGTTGAGAGGTAAGGAGGTGGGATTGGGAATTATTTGGTACACTATATTAATGAGTCTGTTAATAC